TGTTATGGTTTCAGTTAGACATACGTTTGACATACTATCGCTGACATCAGTATGCCGTCCGTATATTTACCTCATAGAGACTTTAAATACGTCCTGGCGTAAATATGACGTACATTATATGCCTGCTTGGGCTAGGGAGACAAAATGAAAACATAAACAGGCATCAAATGAAGCGTTTGTATTTTGTGATGATCTCTAGACAAAGATTCTTGAAACAATTCCAGGTGTCCACCAACAGCACTATTAATAGACTCAATATTGCTTTTACTCATTTTTTCTTGATAATGTCTCTTCAAATCAATGTACTGCTAGTGACATTGATATCTCCCGTGACGTCATGAAGTTTACCCTATATATACACAGTTATCCTGCAGCCATCCTGTAGAACATTTGGGATCGGACTTCAATCATCTGAGCTAAAAGGTATGTTGTTAAATACACCTTGACATACATAATTATCTCAAAGAGACTGTTTTAAACAATTATTTAGAGGTAATTACGAAAAATGCCAAATTTCTTAACATATATAGGATGCTGACGAAACGTAAAAAAAAATTGAGGAATATGTTAACAAGAGTGAAATGATGCGCAGAATGAAACTCGTTTGTGTTTAGATGTCAAAGGTACACTGATTTATCTTCTAAATTACAGAAAAATCATTATATAAATCCGGATTGGTTTGAGTAATCAGAATATTGAACGTAGGTAATAGCTAATACTTAAGGACCATCCAATACAGCAAAGTATATAAAACTCTAAAATAATTATGAATGATCCACTTTCAATATCTACATGTAAATAAATAAATATGCATTATACCTATTGCAGTGTTTGAATCTTTGAACCCAAGATAATATAGAGCTTGAAAGGGACTAGGTAAGAGCTTCGTCAGAAATGTTGTGATACCCTAACAGCTGTGACGGATATTCAGGACAGGTCAACAAAAATATTAAAAACCTGGCATTTCTTAAAGATATTTTTCTTACAACGTAAAACATTTTCCATCGAGACCAAACACATAGTTTGAACCGTGTCAAAGATATAAAACAACAAATAAGTTAAATTATATTTTCTTACGTGCCTTTAAGAATCCGATGATTTACATAACACTACGCATGCCAAAGTACATGAAATACAACCAAAAGACAATACCAGCCTGTCCTCTGTCCTACCGTTTTGGGATCGCACAACGTTACACGATGTGCGCGCAATTTGCGCACGGTATGTGCACGATGTGTGCATGATGTGCGAACGATTCAAATCTGGACGATTATTGCTTGCGCACATTTGTTTGGACGATGGACGAACGTTATGCGACGACAATCGTGGTTGGTGTAAATTGAGAAATGGCTTAACGATATATACGGTTTCGTGTTTAAACATATAAACTTGATTTTTTAAGTATATTTCTATATACTAGCTACACATATAAGCTTAACTTTCTGTCTATATTTTCTTAAATGAAGAAATGGTGTTTTGGTGTTTTTTAAACTACCAAAATCGACATACGTAAAATTACAATACAAAAGGACACCACCCCATCTTCATATAGACATAGCCAGTTTGTACATGTACTTAAACCGTAGTTTTTTCTCACCCGAGGCACTTCCGTAACTTGATAAGGTGTGAAAACCAGGTGAAGGGGTACTTTATACCAAAACGAATGCAAATAACAAATACTTAACGCCGAGTTCTTTTTTCATTACAGTCATACGGTACCATATATCGGCTCTCTAAGTCAGGCACAGGGCGCCAGCTGGTAAAGCTCCGGTCACTCATCAAAATGTTATTTACCTGTTCTGTTTCCTGGGAGCCAAACCCATTCTTGACAGTCTTACTGTCACTGTAGTACTGCGAGCCTTCCTGATTTTTTTTATTCCGCAATATTGATCAACATGTATTAAGTCTTGTATAAAACAAGAATTTATCGCTACAGTTTACCTTTCAGCCCTGTATCAAGTGAGAAATTATCACTATATTTTACCTGCCAGTCCTGTATCAATCTAAAACTCGTCCCTATAGTATACACTATACATGTCAGACCTGTATCGAGCTAGAACCCATAATTATACTTAACATGTACCTGTCAGGTATGTATCAAACTAGAACTCATCACTATAATAGTCACTATACCTGTCAGTCCTGTATAAAGCAAGAACTCATCAATATATTATACCTGTTAGTCTTGTATCGACCTAGAACGCGTCATTTTTATTTATCTATCTCTCAGTCCTGTATAACACTAACACTCATCGCTTTAATATACCGTAAGCCATGTATCAAACTAGAACTCAACACTATACTATACCTGTCAGTCATGTATCAAACTAGAACTCATCACTTTACTACACCTGTGAGTCCTGTATCAAACTATAACTCATCACTATACTATACCTGTCAGTCATGTAGCAAAGTAATACTCATCACTATACAATTCCTGTCAGTCATGTATCAAACTAAAACTCATCACGATACTATACCTGTCAGTCCTGTATTACACTAGAACTCATCACTATACTATACCTGTCAGTCCTTTATCACACTATAACTCATCACTATGCTACACCTGTCAGTCATGTATCAAACTAAAACTCATCACTATACTATACCTATCAGTCATGTATCACTAGAACTGATCACTATACTATACCTGTCAGTCCTGTATCAAACTAGACATCATCACTATACTATACCTGTCAGTCCTTTATCACACTATAACTCATCACTATACTACACCTGTCAGTCATGTATCAAACTAAAACTCATAACTGTACTACACCTGTCTGTCCTGTATCAAACTAGACATCATCACTATACTATACCTGTCAATCCTTTATCACACTAGATCTCATCACTATATATACTATACCTGTCAATCCTGTATAACACTAGATCTCATCACTATACTACACCTGTCAGTCATGTATCAAACTAAAACTCATCACTATACTATACCTGTCAGTCATGTATCAAAGTAAAACTCATTACTATACAATTCCTGTCAGTCATGTATCAAACTAAAACTCATCACTATACTATACCTGTCAGTTCTGTATTACACTAGAACTCATCACTATATTATACCTGTCAGTCCTTTATCACACTATAACTCATCACTATACTACACCTGTCAGTCATGTATCAAACTAAAACTCATCACTGTACTACACCTGCCTGTCCTGTATCAAACTAGACATCATCACTATACTATACCTGTCAATCCTTTATCACACTATAACTCATCACTATACTATACCTGTCAATCCTTTATCACACTAGATCTCATCACTATACTATACCTGTTAGTCATGTATCAAACTAACACTCATCACTATACAATTCCTGTCAGTCATGTATCAAACTAAAACTCATCATTAAACTATACCTGTCAGTCCTGTATTGCACTTAACTATGTCTGTCAGTCTTTTATCACACTATAAATCATCACCATACTATACCTGTCAGTACTGTATCAAACTAAAACTAATATCTATACTACACCTTGTCAGTCCTGTATCACACTAGAACTCATCACTATACAATACCTGTGAGTCATGTATCACACTTAAATTCATCACTATACTATACGCGTCAGTCATGTATGAAACTAAAACTCATCACTATACTATATCTGTCAGTCCTGTATCACACTCGATCTCATCACTATACAATACCCGTCAATACTGTATTATGGTTCTGGTGGCTGTTCTAATTAATGAAAGTTTGTATGCATGTGATTAGCTATGTAAAAATCTCATTTTATTATGACCTATATATTTAATACTTTTTGTTAAGTCAAACGTTGAGTTGAAAAAATCCTACACTATATCCTTGAGTCGAAATTAATAAAAGGCAAAAAACTGGTGATTCTTAAAATAACTTTCTTTTGTTTTTTTACAAATGACAGCCCCTTTACGTGTTTCGATGGAGGATCTAACGCAAACACATGATTATGCGAACTTTGACCCCTACTGGTACGTAGAACACCACCGTGCCTCCGATGAAGCCTTCATCGGCATGCAGACCAACTTAGATACTATCCATAAAATATTCACGGAATGTAAGTCATCAGTGAAATTAAGTAGTTCTTTGTAAATGTAATATTATTTTTCTAAAAAATATATGCATGTATTTGAAAAATGGTATTGATATGAATTACAATTACAGCTACAGCTACATGAATTGAACTAAACCCTTTTCTCGACATCACTTTTCTCGACCTCACGTAAAAAAAATAGAGTCAAAGTATAAGTTGATTTTGCTCTCAATGATATCACTCAACTGTGGCAAACTTACCGACCTCCTATAATCTCTCATAAAGGGTCAACTAATCAGAAGCATTTTTGTCTCTGGTGTGATAAAATATATGAGAATTGTTTTCTCATTAAACCGTGGAAACATATTCCTACACCACTACAGGTACTTTTATTTTACTGCATTTAAAACTGCTAATTATTAAAAAAATAAATATATATGAAACCACTTTCCACTGCATGGCAGGATAATACTATGATCGCAGTATTTTGGTTTTGACGTCTATAGATTTAGAGTCAGCTGATATCACATAATTATTTTATGATTTGTTTTCAACTTATGAATGTAATTTAATAAACGCGGAATCTTACATTCGTGGCCATATCATATTGAATTTATTAAAGCTACTGTCACATGACGGCAGTGTCAAAGTTGTCTTCACAACAATTAAAATGTAGGACCTCCATTATCTGTTGAGTAATACAATTTTGATTACAAGCTCATTGTTTATTTCTCGAATCTGATTAACACCTGTGTAGTGATGCCCCTGAAACTGACATCTCACTGAAATGGGATTAAACAAGACATGGTATCATGACTCTACATCAGGTCTATTATATCGACACTGAAAGTCAATCAACACGATCTTGTCAATGTTTTTTTGTGTATAATTTTTGTGATAATTATTTTCTTTCCTCCAGACAATATTGGCGGTAAGCGTCTGCTAGACGTAGGCACTGGTCCGACCATACACACTGTGATCTCGGCTAGCCGTCACGTGGACGAGATTTTCCTTTCTGACTACGCACCACAAAACCTAGAATATTTGCAAAGATGGCTTAAAAAGGATATATCTGAACCAACAAAAATAATGGATTACGTCATCAGCCTCGAAGGTTGCAAGTAAGCATGCTTTCTATTCCTTAATAGTACCTTTAAATTAAATTGGTTTGAACAGGTTTCTATCAGTTTTGTTTTGATAGCCTGTCCCCTTTCTTGAAAAGGCATTTAAAATTGAACAAATAGGCCTGATCATAACGTTAAAGATAGAAACATTTCAATACGTCCATACATTGCTTTCTCATGATGAAATATATTACACCAGCTAAAACATTCACTCTGCAAACATAATCTCATAACAGGAAGTTGTTCAAGTTTACATCATCCAGCCAGATATCTGCATATTGATCTAAGTATTCTTCGCAAATGTTGTTAGACAACATATAATTGCATAGTTTTTTATTTAAAGGATGACGGCTGAACAAAGAGAAAACGAAGTAAGAGAAAAGGTGAGAGGAATTCTTCCGATAGACGTTAGGAAAAGGATATATCTGAACCAACAAAGATGATGGATTACGTCGTCAGCCTCGAAGGTTGCAAGTAAGCATACTTTCTATGACTGAATAGTACAATCAAATTAACTTGGTTTGAACAGGTTTCTATCAGATTTGTTTTGATAGCGTGTCTCCTTTCTTGAAAAGGCATTTAAAAATGAACAAATAGGCCTGATCATAACGTTAAAGATGGAACAATCCATAGATCTCGATCACTTCTATGATAAACCATGGCCACAACCCATAAGATTGTACCCCCCCCCCCCTTCCTAGTGTAATGCAATATTATTTGTATACTAAATGAATGTTTGATTATATTGCAACCCAAAGGCCTATATAGTAGTTTCAACGTATACTACGGTATATATATATAGTACTGACAACCATATATGTCAACCTTACTATAGAATACCAGTGTACATGTGGTGTGTTACTTTATCTGTCAAATTCTCCTTGGTATCTATTTTATTAGATACATTTCCTATCCAGGTTACCGAATCGTAATCAATGCTAATCCTGATTGTCGACAAATAGTAGTAGCAAACTCTTTCATAATCACTGTATAAGAGCTGACATATCCCTTGCATTAGTGTTACTGACATTCTTCTGTTTTGACTAGCATATATATATATGTCCTGCCATCCTTGCAACAATATTAGATCAGTCTTATGTGTAAAGCAACTACTTTTAGTGTCATTCTTACCTTATTAGTCATTAAATATTAGTAAGGTTATCTAACCTCTCTCAATATGTATCATGCATTTTCTCAATTTCCCTCGTGGACAAATCCATTTTTTTTAAAAAAATCCTCAATGTTTACAAACAATTCATGGTCTGCTGCCCAAACTGAAAAGTCATCTATTCATCGACCCACGTGCGTATGTTATGTGTCGCGCGCAACACGCGTGATTACAAGCACGGTGTCCTAAATATAACCACATGTAAGAATAAACCATAGCTAATCTTGTGTTATAGACTATACCAGCCTGGTGTTATATCCTTGTTAAGCTCATTACCAGGAAAATGTACTCGATAACTTATTCACATACTACTTTAGGAGTATAATGTTTAAGCCACGAAGAGATTGTACAAAGTCTTTATCATAGAAATGTTTGTATTAAATATGATTGTATTATAGTATAAAAAGCTTCCGTATAACAGCGAACTTTGTTTACACCATGTGTTGCGTCTGATGGAGGAACCTTACGATTCCTCCACCTATATAGATATCATGTATGTATTTTTGTTACCAACTATGTATCCCTTCTTAGAAACCCTATATCCCCTTCCCAAACCCTTGCTTAACAATCATATGCCAGCCATGGATGTATTCTTGCCGGATCACAGACTCGAGTGCCTTTTGAAACAGCTCCAGATCTTGATCTTTGTCATTTTTGACAATGGGTAAGTTCTCTCTTGTTTCAATATCAAGGGCATTTGAGTCTGTTCATTTATTTTCATCAAGTGTTTCATCCCTATATTTATATCGCCAGGTATGTATGCTGCCAAAACAATGCCACCCTTCTTACCTAAACAACAGCATAATAACTTTAATATTAAGTAGTTATGTAGATTGGAATAACCTATCATTTATATACATTATCATGCTCATGTTATTGACAGTATCGTCTGATATAGAGGAAAACCCTGGTCCCTTAGGAAATCTAGATATTGTCCATCTGAATTCTCGATCTATACGTACTAAAACTGACTTAATTGAAGCTGAACTAAATAACAATGACATAATCTGTATCACTGAATCGCATCTTAAACCTGAAATCCCAAACAGTGATATTATTATTGATTCTCATTCGATAAATCTTCATAGAAAAGACAGACTTAATAGACAGGGAGGTGGTGTACTGGTTTATTATAAAGATTCTGTACTAACCAAAAGGAGACATGATCTTGAAATAGATGATATTGAGCTACTATGGTTGGAAGTAACTATCAATAAACATACATTTTTATTAGGCTGTCTATACAGGCCTCCTGATTCAAATGTTGAATTTTGGACGAAACTTGATGGCATACTTGAAAAAGCATCAGACCTTTCTCTAGATATTTTATTAGTAGGGGACATTAATGTTAATCTTCTTTCTCTTCAACCAACTTCCCACCTATCAAGACTTCTTTCTAAATTTAACTTATACAATCTAATAAATGAACCCACACGTATTACACCAGAAAGCTCTAGTTGCATTGACTTTGTATTTACAAACAATAGAAATATTATAAGAGGTACACATGTAGGCGATCCATTTTGTAGTGATCATTCCCCAGTACATATTAGTATATCATATTGTGTATTTAAGCAAAACTCTTATATAAAGAAAATCTGGCAATATGACGCTGCTGATTTTAATCAAATGAATGAATGTCTACTAAATATGGATTGGCAACAACTAGCTAACCAATCCGATTCGAATGAATTTAGTATCATCATAAATAATGCAATCACCGAGCAGATGGAAAGATATACACCATGTAAAACTATTACAGTAAGACCAAATGATAAATCTTGGATGAACCATAATATCAGAACTAAAATGAGGCAAAGAAATAGAATTCATAAAAAGGCAAAAGTAACCAATAATCCCGATCACTGGACGCGCTTTAGAATAATTAGGAATGAAGTAATCAGCCTTATTCGAGAAGCAAAATCTAATTTCATTGTTAAACTTCAAAATTCTCTTGATGATAAAAATATACCCCCTGATAAATGGTGGAAAATAGCTAAAACCATTTTAAAATTTAACAATAAGTCATCCACTATTCCCCCCCTGGAATCAAATGGTGAATTTTTTTATCACCCGAGTGAAAAAGCTGCCTGTCTAAATAAATACTTCACTTCTATCTCATCTTCATCTAACAACCTTGAACTTCCTGATGATGTAATTGTGGAACTTCCTTACTCCATATCAAATATTCAAATAACTAGTCAGGATGTCAAAGATCAGTTAGAAAACATGAATGAAAAAAAACCATCTGGACCTGATGGCTTAGTTCCTAAAGTTGTTAAAAAGTTAACACCATCTCTTATTCTGCCACTTAAACTATTATTTAACAAAACTTTAGACTCTAGTCTTCTGCCAAATTCCTGGAAAATGACCAATGTTAATGCTATTTTCAAAGGCAGTGGCTCTAGGAGTAATACTGCTAACTATAGACCAATTTCTATTACCTCTTGTATTTGTAAACTTATTGAAAAGATTTTATTTAAATACCTATACAACTATCTTATATCAAATAACATTTTATCGAACAATCAGTCCGGCTTTAGACCCGGTGACTCCACTGTAAACCAACTATTATCTATTTATCATGAAATATCAAAAAATTTAGACACAGGTAAAGAAGTTAGGTTTGTATTTTGTGATATAAGCAAGGCCTTTGATAGGGTTTGGCATACAGGTCTTGTTAAAAAATTAAGTAATTATGGAATCAAAGGTAAATTATTATCTTGGATCCATAATTACCTTTCTGACAGGAATCAACGAGTAAGTACTGAAGGTTTCTATTCCCCATACTTAACTGTTAATGCAGGAGTCCCCCAGGGATCAGTTCTGGGTCCATTATTATTTTTATTATATATAAATGACATTACTGATCTTGTTTCAAGTAAAGTAAAACTCTTTGCTGATGATACCTCTCTATATGTCATTGTTGATAACAATCCTGATCAGTCTGCACAACTTCTTACAGATGATTTAAAACATATTAGTGAATGGGCTAAACTATGGGATGTAAATTTCAATCCAACAAAAACAAAATCTGTATTATTCTCCAGGAAAAAAGAAGTTGCTTTACCACCAATTTTATTTCAAAATGATGTAATTTCTAATGAATCCACTCATAAACACTTAGGTGTAACTCTTAATGAAAATGGTACCTGGGAATCCCATATACAAACTATTTATGAAAAAGCATATACTAGAATAAATATACTACGCTGTTTGAAATATAAACTTAGCAGAGAAACTCTTATAAAAATATATTTTGCATTCATAAGACCTTTACTTGAATATGCTGATGTAATTTGGAATAATTGTACAACCCAACTAAAAAAATTACTAGAATCTATCCACCTGGAAGCAGCAAGAATTATAACAGGGCTGAGAAGAGGAACATCACATCACTTACTTTATAGGGAATTAGGGTGGGAACCATTAGAAATTCGTCGGAAAAATCATCAATTGATATTAATGTACAAAATACTACATGGCCATGCACCTTTATACTTGCAAGAATCAATCATCCCTTTTATTAACAATAATGAAGCAAATATACATTCATTGCGTAGAAATAGAATATTTAGCCCTCCACTCTGTAGATCAAACAACTACTATCATAGTTTTTTTCCTTCAATGCTCCGCGAGTTTAATAAACTCTCACCTACTACAGTACAAGCAACCTCCCTTAACATTTTTAAGAAACTTATAAACATGTCAAATATCAGTGAAGAGGAAGATGTGAGCGTTTCAAATGTATTCAAAAATAAAGGATCAAGGAAGGGTAATATCATACTTTGTCAACTTAGAAATGGATGTAGCAACTTAAATTTTGACCTATATATTGATCATTTAAAAGATAATCCTGTGTGTTCTTGTGATTTAAACCATGAAACTGTCTCACATTTTTTTCTTCACTGTCCTCTGTTTTCAGTCCAAAGAGCATTACTAAAAAATGAACTTGAACTTATTGGAAACCATAACCATTTTCATCTCACCAACTTACTATATGGCTGTCAAACATGTAACGAAGGTGTAAATATGGAAATTCTTAGCTCTATCCTAAAATATATAGTTAAAACTAAAAGATTTGTTGAATATCGAGTATAATACCAGGCAACTTGACACATCTTGAGTTAATATATATACACATGTATATATATTTGTAGATAATAACACTTATTTATAAAAACAACATCCATTCGTACAGGAGTGCATCTCTGGCTGGTTATCGTGATATTGTTATGCTTTCCTTTTATATTCTCCCATACTACTTATATCTTTAATTTTTAGTGTACATACTTTAGATCTGCAATTTTTCCATATATGTACTCAAATGCATTACTGTGAATTATACCGCAATAATATTTACTATGGATCCTGTACAGTGTTCAGTTGAAGACCTAAACGTAACACAAGGACTGTGCGGTCTTCAATCTGATATTAAAGCTTGTATACTACATGTATATGCGGTCTATAACCAATATATATATATATATATTACCTACATTGTATATTGCAGACCAAATCTAATTAATACACTATTCTATGGGAGTTATCCCCCTTCCCCCACCCACACCATATTTTATATAATAACCTCTTAATTATGTAAATATCTAATTAGATTTACAAATGTTAATTTTTGACAGTAAGCAAAATCTTATTATTATAAATTCAATCCATTATGTCCATATACCTACCATCAATGGAGAGGACTTATATAGGCTATAAGCCTGTTGTCCAATCCTTTTGACAGTGTAACATTCTTCTATGTCAATAAAATATGTTGAAATAAAGATGGAACGTACAAATTCGCACGCGTCAATACATTGCTTTCTCATGATGAAATATATATAGCACCAACTAAAACGTTCACTCTGTAAACATAATCTCATAACAGGAAAATGTTCAAGTTTACATAATCAAGCCAGATATCTGGACATTGATCTTAGTATTCCTGACAAATGTTATTTGACAACATATAATTGCATGTTTTTTTACATAAAGGATGACTGCTGAACAAAGGGAAAACGAAATAAGAGAAAAGGTGAGAGGAATTCTTCCGATAGTCGTTACGTCATAAAAACCCCTCGGAAGTGCCTATGACGGGGGTAAATTTGATGTCATAATTTCGAGTTATTGTATTGAGGCAGCGGTGCTTGACGTTACTGGGTACAGGAGGTGTATCGAGCATGTATCTTCTCTTCTGAATAAAGGCGGGGTTTTCATCAATATTGGCGACTTGGAGGGAAAATATTATCAAGTAGGATCGTATAAGTTCCCAGGAGTGTCACTGAATACACAGGAAGTAAAATCAACACTTGCTCAAATCGGATATGACATCAAATTTTACTCGGAATTCCCTCTAACTGTTGAAGAGGCACGATACGCTGACTCAAATGGGTACTTCGTCGTTGTCGCGACAAAATAATTCTTTTCAGAACATTTTGTTTTTATATGTTCTAAATCATTTATTATACTTTTCTTAAACAGATATTTATATTTTGTTGTCACTAAAACTATCAAAAACTTATAGTTATATCTTTTTGTCAGTGTGCGTGTGCATACATCGTGCGCATACCGTATACTTTTTTATCATCACAATAATTCAGATGATGTTCAATTTTGCAATGCGTGTTAAACACTATGACAATGACATCTAAATTGTCAGGTGACCGGAGTTTTACCGGGCCTGAGCTGATATGTTTTGGTCTATACCTATAGCTCCCCTTTACCTAGGTTTCACACCTCGGCGAGTAACGTAAGTGGCCCGAGTATTGTCTGCAAAGAAGCACTTAGAAAGCATGTCTGTCCAATGCTAACCTTCGATCAACCGTTATATTGGAAAGCAAAGATCATAATAGAGAACGCACCCACTGGCAGTCGGCTCAAGTCAATTATATTGCGACTAGGTGGTTTTCATGCTGAGATGAGCTTCATTGGAAGCATAGGTCGCCTGATGGTCGGATCAGGATTTTTAGAACTCCTAGAAACAGTATATGCCCCGACAGCAGTATCAAACATGCTTATCGGAAAAGCATTCAGAAGATGCAACCACGGAAAAAGAGTATCAGAGGCAATGAATCTTTTCGATTCTCTTTTGAAAAATATAGTGTCCATCTAGGAGGTTTTTGCCAGTCCCGTCATCGATGTCATCAGTTCAAAAATAGACGAGTTCAGGACATCACATAAAGGTTTCAGAACGTCAAAACTATGGTTCCAGTTCATGGACATGGTGGAAATCCTTAGAAATTTCATCAGAGCTGAACGAACAGGGGACTGGGAGCTGCACTTACAATCATTGAAAGAGATGTTGCCTTATCTCGCGGCTGCTGGCCACAACCTGTTCGCTAAATCAGGCAGAATATATCTACAAGATATGAATGCTCTCCTAGGAACACACCCGGAAGTATACTCTTTCATACAACTTGGATACCATGTCATCAGAAGATCTGATAAGTTTTGGTGTGGTCTTTCGTCAGATTTAGCGATAGAACAGATCCTTATGAGAAGCATCAAACCGTCTGGTGGTTTAACAAGAGGCAGAGGCATGACAGATAGTCAGAGGTCGGAATGGATATTGGAGATGCCAGATTGTGCGACCTTAACCTAGCTGTCCAGGAGTTAACATCGCAAAATTTCCAAACCAGTGATCAGCACAAGCGCGACTGCACAGACATATAACGTCACTAGCTTTCACATCTGCCCATGGCCCATTCATCGAGGAATTAAACCTTAGAAATATTGGAACTGGTGTAACAACGGACTCCAAGGCAAATGTAGAACATCGCCAAGGAAGTTGAAATTGGAATTCTAGACTCAGTGAACAGTGTTGGTGTGGCTGATTTCATTTTTAAAATAAAGAAGTTTAACATATTGCTTTAATAATGTTGTCAAAGTTATTCATTGAGAATTTTCGTGACAATTGCGACCATTTACATACATTCAGGTGTATTTTTCTAAACCCAAGCGTGGCATTACAGGTAAACCATATACAAATGCTGTACACATACAGACCATAAAGTATAATTTGGACAATTTACAATGTATAAACTTTTCATAATTAAGGATTCGAATAAATTAGACGATCGATGTATAAACCGAAAACTCGATAGAACTAGGGCAAAATATGAACAAAGGAAAGATTTAAATGGAGATCTTTGAAAACGTACAAGGGAGATAAGACCGGGTGTTCCAGAAGGGTGAGTGTCTTCTGATTCATTGATACTGTAAATATCGAATCCAAGTAATGTTCCATTCTCGCATCTTAACTCGGGTAGTGACAACAAAACCACAATTCACTCTAATGAGCAAAATAAAAATCATTAACCTTCATATTGCACAAAGTAACCACGAGATGTAAAAACCAGAAGCGGGGATATTGCTTTCAAGAAATGGATAATCCACGATAGGAAATTTGGAACCGCCCCACTTACCGTACTGCTTAGTAGTAAGACGTCCATGTTGGTCATGATGTAAGTTAAGATTAAGGAAAGCGTCTGAAGTTGAATAGTCTATAGTGTCCTTAATTTTAAACTTTAGAGGGTGTATACGATAGGTCTGGTCAATAATTTATTGTAAAGCATAGACAGAACATCTTCGATTAATCTGAATAAGAAATTGAAAGACTTGGTTAGATTTTCGTTACCAATCCCGATAAGCTAATCAATACGAACCACGAAGCTATTTACGTAGAAAACACTTCTGATCTCCGTTGATCAATTAGTTATCTAGTCCAACCTAAATCGATCCACAAAGAAGCATATTTACAATAACATTATAATGATATACAATATTTGTAAAGCGCCTGATATATTTCATGTTTTATAATGAACACAGTATGCAAAACAATTAGCAAGACACTACAAACATCGTGTATGTACAATACTTAACACAAATATTAATAAGATCAAAAACGGAAATCTGCATGATGTGAAAATCTAAAACTTCAGGATCCCCTTGTTACTGCAAAAAGCTCTAACTACGCATTGAAAACTGTTTTTCCAGCATTACTATAGCTTTGATCAATTATTTTCTGAATGAAAATTACGCTCGATAAAAATGATAGAAAAATATTGAAAGAAAATAATGAATGGTGAAATAAACAAAATAAACAACAGTGTTTTGGTGGGAAAAATAACAGCGGGTTAGAAAGGGATTCGAACCCAGACCCTCAAATTGTTTTACCGTCACTCTAACCGATTGTGCTACCTGGTCAACGCATTTGTACATGTATATAAAACGAAATGAAAGAGGGGAGGGGGTGGGGTTGCTGCATATATTTGAAAAACTAGAGTGCAGTGGAACAGGGATCCTAAATTTCTAAATTTCTAAACCCCTCTTGAAAAAAGACCCAGTAATTATGACGTCACAATCAGTTTATTTAGATCTAACATAACACTACTACATTGGGTACAGGAATAATGTTTGATAACTTTTATTATTTATAATAAAAACATACACGTACATACAAAACAATGTATGATTTAACTTACATAAAACTGTATGATCTTATATAAATTTGTTATCTTACTTACATATATATGTATTATCTTACACAAAACTGTATGATTTTACTTACGTACAACGTATGATCTACTGACATAAAACTCTATGATCTTTCCGATATAAAACGGCATAATTTTACTGACTTGAAACTGAATACATTACTTATATGAAACTGTACAATCTCCCTTACATAAATTATATAACCATACTGACATAAAAATGTGTGATCTTACTGACAGGAAACAGTATGATCTTACATGAAACTTTATGATCAAACTTCCAGTATAGAAAATTATTTTTGACATAAAACAGCATGAACTTGGTCACTTTGAATTGAGTTATCCTAGGTGTATAAACCTATATGATCTTACTTACGTAAAACTATATGATCATTCATACATAAAACCGTATGATCCTATATTATGATATATGTTCTCACTTACAAAACACTGTATGATTTTATAAAATAACTGTTTGATATTACTTACGTAAAAATTATATATTTTTTTATACATAATGATGTATGAGTTTATATGAATGTGTATGATCTTACATAAATATGTATGATATGGGGGGTAATGTCTTCATTCTCAGGTTGATGTTGACCTTATATAGTAGCTACACTGTATCAGATAAGTTCGAAACCAAAACTATCAAAGCACAAAAAATGTCCGCCAACGACAAGGAACAAAACAAAAACTACAGATGTCCGCAAACAAGAACCAGAACTGTGAGAAATTTCTAAGCGATGGTGCCCGACACACATCAAGTAGAATTTCTTTAACAATGATTGACGCACTAGACGCACTTTCTACTAATAAGCTGTTATGTTATGAGTCGCTTTGCTTTCAAACATGTCAATGGTAGTTTATAAAAAATAAATATATTATTACTTTCAACATACAAGAACTCGTTGGCACTTAACAATTTTATTGATGCAGTTTTAAGCTGAGATACTCATAGGTTTTGTTCGGTACACAGTGGAGGCGATGAGTAAACACGTACGCGTTGATGTTACTTCTAATTGCTTTCTCTTATATATATTACAACTTCCCTTGTCATCTCATTAGTAAATGAACGATGTTAGCAATATCATATCCATGATATTTGGACAAAATAACAAATATTATTAATTATTATATCAAAAATCAAAAATTATCATGACAAATAAATATTGTGTTCTTATTATTACTTAGAATGATACTTGTATCCGTTTTGAGAGCTCCATCAACACTGAAAAGCGATTTCCAAAGCGGTTGCTCAAGGAATCATTTCTTCCTGAATTGATTCTAATAGTACTAAAATGCTATCGAGAGTTATTTGGATTGTTTCTGTGTTCACGGATATCTTTAGACAATGTCATTATACACTGGAAACCATTTGCTGTTATAAAACTGGCGTGTGTTGTAATCAGAAGAGAAACTGAACGAACATTATTGTCTGCGCAGCAACCTTTTTTCGCTTTCGTTTAGTAGTACTCCAGTGAGGATGAGGAGATACAAGATCAGTTCTTTTCAACGGGAACGGAATGCATGAACTCACAGCATACAACGGCCATGTACTGACTTGTGATCACTACTGCCATGTTTGGATTTCCTGGAAGGATGATGACGTAATGGTTGGTCACGTTGACATGCTGTTCACTGATGTCATATTGTGTCATGATATGTCATGTCCAATATCCCCCTTTACACCAAGAGTGCTGCATCTCAATGACTGTCAGTAAGCATGGAGGGGATGTTTACTATAAAATACCTGACCCAGGTAACGCATGAAATACACAACAAACAACAAGAAATATTACCAATAAAGTTCAACACTTAAAAAATCATTGTGACGTCCAATAGCAAAACCATCAATTACATTCCATGATTTCAGAATTGATCCGTGCTAATTAACTCTTGTTCTTGCACCTCATTTGAAATTACCCATTGTCTTACTGATACTGTAAACAAACATATTTTAGCAATTGTATTAATTTTCGCCCTTTACTTTTTTTGCTCTTTATCATGACCAGAAATGATTCACTAAAGCTATGCCGGGAAAACACTTTCCAATGCGTGGTTACAGTTATTGGCAGTGATATTGAAATCCTTAAATTGTATTTACTGTTACCTGTTAACGTATGTGAATTAAGTAATATATCCGATAGTCATGTCACCTATGAATAAGCTTAAGTATTTCCACTTATTCGCTCCATATTTTATCTACTCAAGCAGATACTGTTTAAACTGTTCCGAATCATAGAGGGCCAATTCTACGTTTCCCAGACATTCTTTTACCTGAAAACGAAAAAAGGTTGCTGAGCAGACATTATGTTGCCAGGATTCAAAGACATCGATATGACAGCAAGCATCACGTGGACTGTTTGAGCAATTCACCCTGGGAAATGTGCCCTGACAGGTAAACAGCGTCCTCCGTGTGTGGCCTTTTTGAGATTAGGTAGACCTGCCAAGGGCACAGTCTATACTTTGCTAATTTGACGGGCATGGACATGGTAACCACGGAAGTCATTATTTCTCGAAATTGTATACAAACCTTTTCACCGACCGTTTTCTTTCGAATCACAGAAACAAAGCTGAAATTAATCAGAATCTTTAATATATAAATGTGCAACGGGTTTCTTGGAATATTTGTGACGAATTAGGTTGACTTTTTCATCTCCGACTTTAAAAGGCACACGAGAACGCATGTCACAGATCACAGATGTTACAATTTTAGTGAGAGGGGGGGGGGGGGGGGGGGGGGGTGCTCGTAATTTTGGTTTAAGTGTTCGCCGTTCTCGTAAATAACCTTCAGTTTTGATACCGTCTTTCTTTGTTTACGCTGTTATATTAATTTTTACTTTTCGCAATTATGGGAAAGTTAGTGGTGTAGAGGATATCATTCAAATGCATGTACACAACATTAATGCAAGCCTCAGTTTGGCTTTTAAACTTAGTTATGTCATGTTATGAGGGAAATATTCAATCTGTTTCTTCAATTTAGGGGATTCGGTAAAATCCTCAGTAAATCCTTATCAATTAAGATGTCTCCAGCGAGGACCAGACATTTACAAATGCTATTTCCAGTATGAGTCCGAAGAGGCGATCCGTGTCAGTTAATCGGCCAAGGAAAAAAAAACTGCAGAATATGTTAGGCATTATATATGATGTTACAAATTGAGACTATTTAAAATTATTGGCTAAAACGATTGGTCGAGCTGCATATGTGTCGGGTTTCGGCCCTATCATTCAACGGCATCATGAATATTTCTACCTACATTACGGAGGGACGAGCTATTAATGGTATGTTAGAATTGGTATCAAGAAACATCTTGAGACGTTTCGTCATGCCAAGTATCATTAACCAGACCGATCGTATACCCC